TGCACAAATGTTCCCAATCCTGTGCACGAGCTCTAGAATAGAATATAAAGTGAACAAATAAGTTGCACAAAAAGCATAAAGTAAAGTGAAAGGATTTATTTTAAAAAAAAATTTTTGTTGGAATGCCGACCGGTTTTTCAATTGCTGTATTGACCTGATCATAACCAAGCACTTAGACAGATGAGATAGAAGTTATGTTCATACCTGTACTCTTCTGATGTATTGTGCTCGTTGATCAAATCTGATTGTACTCGCTCCATATCCTGAACTAGGTTGCGCTCCCTTCTTCCATTTCTTGGCATAAGGCGAAGGTAGGGACCTCCCTCTTCGGTTCGAGACTCAAGCTAAAGAGAGCCTGTATCCCTTGCAGCACTGAGTATTGACCTTGAGTGCCAGAAAGAGATGACTTCTCCAGAAAAAAAGAATAATCATGCAGTTTTTGAGACAGAAGATAATCGATATTAGAGCATAAGCTCCTTTAGTTGACTTATTACGATTTTAATGCAAAAAAACTGGTGCAAAAGGCTTTATGAAGTCAAGTCCATGGGAAAAACAAGAAATAGTTTCTCAAATATAGAGATGATATACACTCACCATGCGTATTTGATCACGAAGTTGTTGATTAACTGACTGAGTCTTTATCAATTCAGCCATAAGCGACTAAAGTACACGGAAATCGGCAGCATTTGTACTGGCAAATTCGATTGACAAACCTCTACAGGAGGTAGTTGCTGACGAAGTAAACGAACTTGTTCTTCTGCATCGTCCGCCCTTCTCCGATACTGGTCTATCTAAAGCGATTTCATTCCAGTCAAGAATGTTTCATAGTGACAACTAGCAGTTCAGATGCTTTAAATGAAAATCTTGCAAGTGGTGAAGGTTTCATGCAAGATAATAGTTTAATAAAATTGCGTTCAGCCCTTTAAGTAGTTGTAGACATTGTATTTAGGGTGAATATACCTGTAACTTCCAGTTCTTCGCTTCTTCTTCCACTAGGTTGCTCCGAAATTGTACTTCTTGTAGTTTTTCATTCAACGCGCTGCACGCCTGAAAAGCGAATAGATAGATTCGTGAGAGACATGATGATAACGTGATCGACGCCCTAGTATATTCGATAAAATGCAACATGATTTGTTTGAAGGAAAAGACT